GGGGAGGTGCCCCGGGCACCGGCCCCGAGCCTGCTCGCGGCTCTGGCGCGGACCGGCTGCCCTGCCCTGGTGAAAGCACCTTAGGCCTTGCAGTCTTTGCTTTCCTCCCGCTAAATGAGTATAATAGGGGCAAGAGCAAGAAATAAACCTGCGGGAAGCAGCGGTGGGGATGAGTCAGAGGCAGCAAGGAGAGAAAGCTGTTTTCCAAGGAACAAATAACGCCTGCCTTAACGTGGGATAAGCCCGGGGCAGGAGGCAAATGGGAGCTGGCCAGGCGGGGAGGCTCTGCCAGGAGCAGCTGGGGGGACGCGGGCGGCCAGGCAACGCCTTAGACCACAAAGGTGTCAGCGCCCGCAGGCATCACGGCCCGAGGGCATCGTCACCTCCAGCGCCGGGAGAACGGGAACAGGAGATCATCATCGTGAGATGCCATCAATGGGGGAAGAGCAATCGCCTGGGAAGCAGCGTCCTCCCTGCCCCGGTGAAAACGCCAGGTGAGCGGAGACAGCTTGATTAGTGTTGCTTGATTAGCGTCGTGCGAGGCTCAGGCGCTGGGAGGGCTCCGCACGCGGTGAGGCTCCGGCGAGATCTCGCTTTGCGAGGCACAAGGGCAGCGCGCGTCTAAGCGCAGGGAGCGCGAGGAGACGGCGATGTAGCCCACACGCTCTGCCCTGAAGGTTCAATGCACACGGGGAAAACTTCTGGCCCGCTACAAAACGGGCTGCTTGTCCTGCCAAGGGGACATCTCGGCGGGGAGACGGCCTCGGAGGAGCCGGCTCGGCGTGTTGCTCCCACGCCAACGCTCTCGCCGTTGCACTTCTGTTTAGCTGCGTTGCCGAAAGCGGCGCTGGCGGCGTGCGCAGAGGGTTAGCTGTCTTTGTCGAGGAATACAGTGGTAGCTGGCTGTCAAAGCTGTCATTAAACTCAAGAAGTAACAATCAAACACACACGTACGAGAAGACGGATCTCTGTCGCTCCGAGACTGATGTATGCAGAGACAAAACGGATGCCGAGAATGTGGCTATAAAACATGCCTTCAGCTCAGTCAGCCGGGTCGTTAAATAAAATCCTCATTTGTATATCAAGAGCGGCGAATCTATTTGTCTAATATATCAGCACTTCGGTTTGTTGTTTTAAGTTTTCTGCTTACATTTAACACCCTGAGGAATGCTGAATATCAAAAACCAAATGAAACGCGCGCTGCGTAAGCTTTATAGAGCCATCTCTTCCATCATCGCCCCGTCCGGATGGAGGATTTTGGATGAAGAATTGCTCCCAAGAGCTGAATCATATTTTTAACCAAAAACATCGCTCTTAGGTGACTAAGACCAAAACGTTTTTCTTCCTTTATTTATTGCAACTAATGCCATTATTAAAAACCAGACACGTCCCTTTCCAGTCCATTGCTCTATCTAGTTTATATGCGCTGGCAAAACACTGCAGAACGCAGAGGGTAAACGCACAGAAGAAATTTTGCTTTGAGCTGCCTCAAAGCCCTGGCTACAATGCCGACGCGGGCCCAGGCGTTAACACAGATTAATCAATCAATAAAGTAGATTAATAACCCTGGGTCACTAACAAGCAGAGCGCAGACGCACGTGCAAGTTAATCCTATGAGTCTTTCGGCATGCAGCCTCCCCGCCGGGAGCACCCTGCTCGGCCCTCGCAGCAGCGCGCCCGGCGGGCGCCTCCGCCGAGCGCCGGGATGGGTCCCGGACAGGTCGCAGCACGGGTGGACTGCTAACCCTTAAATTCGGGTGCACGGGGACAAGGCTTCGGGGGGGCCGGGCGCCA